GTGAGAAATTCTTTTATTTTCAGATTATATATTTACCTAACTAAATCGAATGCAAATAGAAAATGTGACAGTTTGAGAAGTGTTAATAAAGGTTGCTGAGATTTTTCTTTTGCACCTCCTCCTCCTCCTCTTAGACACCACATCAGGAGCAGACACCAGGAACAATCCCAGCATAGGTGAAGGCAGTGTGGGGGGGATGACGGGCAGCCTGAGCGCCAGCGGCAGCCACATGGACCGCCTGGGAGCCGCCAGAGACAACCTGAGCGAGACGGCGTCCACCATGGCTCTGGCCGGGGCCAGCATCAGCGGCAGCCTCTCGGGCAGCGCCATGGTCAACTACCTGCACAGGTGCTAAAAGCGCTCGTTAGACGCATCTTTTTATCTGTTCTCCTCTAATGTGTCCCTGCCTCTCATGGTTGTCAGGATGGAGGTTCAGGCGGACGTGCAGAAGGAGCGCTGCAGCCTCAGCGGAGACTCTGCCACCGTCAGCCTGGGTACAATCAGTGATAACGCAAGCACCAAAGCCATGGCCGGCTCCATCCTGAGCGCCTACATGCCTCTGGACAGGTGAGCCTCGCTTTCATGTCCTTCTCTGACATCCATTCCATCTGATTACTGAATTCTGCCTTTTTTCCCCTCTTTCCAGAGAGGGAAACAGCATGGAGGTCCAGGTGGACATCGAATCCAAACCTGCCAAACGGCGGCACCACAGCGGCAGTAGCAGCGTAGAGGACAGCAGCAACGCCGGCCGCTGCAGCTGGACCAACCCCCCCGCCGGCTGTAGCTCCTCAGAAGGCAGAGGGAGCGCGGCTAAGTGGGCCAAAGAGGCATCCTGCTCCTCCTCTTCCAGCTCCGGGGGCAAAAAGAGCAAAGGCAAGCTGCGCAAGAAAGCAGGCGGAGGAACGAAGATCAACGAGTCGCGGGAAGACATGGACGCCCAGCTTTTAGAGCAGCGCAGCACCAACTCCTCCGAGTTCGACTCCCCGTCACTGAGCGGCAGCCTGCCCTCTGTGGCCGACTCGCATTCCAGCCACTTCTCAGAGTTCAGCTGCTCCGACCTGGAAAGCATGAAGACGTCTTGTAGCCATGGCTCCAGCGGCGGGGACTACCACCCTCGCTTCGCCACCGTCAGCCCCTTACCGGAGGTGGAGAACGACCGCCTGGAGCTGTGCCCCGCCTCTCTGGCTTCATCCCAGTCCCCAGCCTCCACCTCCTCCCCCCTGGGTAACGGCGCTCAGTTTTCTCGGCTCGGCTGCGTTAGAGACGATAACGTTAACCCCGCGTGTCCCAGCGAGCCGGACTCCTGCAGCAACACCGGAGAGCTTTTAAAGGAACAGAACAACAATCATCAGGAGGAGGAGGAGGAGGCGCCGCAGACCAAGAACTCCAGCATACAGACTGATATTTAATAAAGTCCATCCCTGAAGTGCTGCTCTCATACTTTATACACAACCTCCTTTAACCCAACAGCTGCTGCTGATGGTTTAACCTGCAGTTTGGGGTTTTTCATAGAAAGCAGCATTTGAGTAAATCTGATCTGTGGTTCTATCAGATGCTAGAAAAGGCTTCAATAGATCAGCGTTCTGAAAGTATTAACTTCTTACCTAAAGCTCCTCTCTGATTGGCTGCTGCGCGTCAATCAGGTGTTTAGGTTTTAGTGGGGACCAGGCAATATGTTGATTTCTTTTCTTTTATTTGGGATGTTCCCAATCCTCAGCACTAAAATAAACCTTAAACAAAGCTTTTTTTTTTTTTTTTCTTTGCTGGAGATTATGATCCGCTGCTTTTCCTCGTAGTTTGAGACGTTTAGTGCCAACATAACATGGGGCAGATCCCGCTCTGGGATATTAAGGCGAGCTGATTGTTTTTTGGAGGGGGCGGGGTCTCTGGAAGGCCTTGGTTGTAGGAGTTGATGCTAACCAGTGGGTTTAGAGGTGGTTTAGCTCAGCCTCACTGAGAGCTTTGAAATCTCGACTCACGGTGCCTTCAGGAAGCTGCTTGGGTTTGTCTCCTGGACTTCCAGGACAATGTTTTCCAGACGGCAGTCTGTCTGTCTGTGGCGCACACTGAAGACTTCTCAACAGCCTACCAAAGACGGCACTCAGGCTCTTGTTGGTTCTGTCTCAGCTGCCGGCAGTCACATGCATCCTGTTTTTCTTTTCCATTGCAGGGCTGAGTGAAGGCGTGACCCAGGGTCACACATCCAGCCTAATTGTTTTGTTTTTTTACATGTTCCACTGAAGCTAAGCAATTAGCTGAAGCTGCCCAGCAGCTCCAGGCACCTTCACTGATGCACAAACCTTCAGTCTGTCTCGCTGAACCCTCCTGGTCTGGATTCCAGTTTGTGTTGCCAAACGGTGCTGCTGAGCAGACATAAAGTATGTTTTATTTTAGTTTTTTCCAGAATTTTTGCTCAGCCTATTTCCTGAGCTGGTTCAGGTGAACCTCTACCAGCAGCGGTTCTGACCCAGCTCACTTGGTTCTGTGGATGAAGCCTAATTGCTGCAGTTCTCCCTTCATAAGATGGAAGATTTTTTTGTTGTTTGTTTCCTTCTTCCGTCATGGTTTTTAACCAAAAAAAAAAAACGTTTTGGTTGTAATTTGCACACTACTGCCAGATAAAACTGGTCATTAGTGCACCATGGGATAAAGGTGTTTGTATATTTGTTTGGGGGATTTGCTTTACTATATGCGTGTAAATGCATATCGACAAAAATAAAAAAATATATATATATCAAATGTCTGGTTTCTTATATTCAGTAAAAGAACACAACATGAAAGTGATTTTCTTTATTGAATAGGCCTCTGTATTCTGTACAGATAACTTTACTGAAACATACAATTTAAACTACAAACTAAAGGTTTTTATTGCCTCTTGCCCCCAGTTTGGGTCCCTGACTTTAACTCTGTACATTCATGAAGAACAAAACCTTTTTAACATTCAGGAAGCTCTCTGTTTAGGACAAAAACATTCTTATGAACAGGTTTAAATTAGAAAAGAATGGCTATTTGAATGTTGTCAGTAAAACATGTAAAATCTTGGATGCAAAGGTTGTTTAAAATTTGACTCAAGTGAAGAATTAAATTACTTGAATTAATATGATGCATTTGGACAAACTTTGGAGCTTCGATAAAGAGGAGAGTGCAGAACATTTACCCGGTGGATCGTCTTGACCCCCAGGCTGCACTTTAAGGACACGTCTCCCTAGAAGCAGGAATTCTTCATTTAACTTCTTATTGCATAGATGTTTAAGCAGAATGAAGCATTAATGTGTTTTTTAATGGTCTTTTGGTCTGTTACAGACAGAAATGGATATATTTAAACATCTTTTTTGGTCCTTTAGGTTATCTTCAATAGTTCAGTGACAAAAGGTCGTAGTTTCCTTAAGCAGCATGGGCACTGACGACCTCTAAACATGGCTGATTTACAACAGCCACACGTGTTACATGACTGATCTGAAGAGCTTCCCGGACCAAATAAACAGAAATCAGTTCTGGGAACAGGAGCTCCTCTTATGTAATCCCAGAGCAGTGGGAGAAAACGCTGGCCTGCTGTCGGCCGATCCCACGCTGCACTTTGGACCGTGTTTGATAATTTGCAAAGTAAAAACGATCCAGATGAACAATTAAAGTCAAATCGGTGCTGGTACATAAAATCTGCATAGCAAAAAACAACAGACACCCTCAGCTTTCACTCAGAATCAGTTCCTTGGTGCTTCTGTGGAAACATGGAGGCTGTTCTGAGCCTGATGATGCTTAGAGCCAGGATTGGAGATGCAGCAGAGGGTGAAGGGGGGGTCAGACGTATTTGTTGGCCAGATTGTGAACGTCACCCTGGGTGAACTCTGAGCTCTCCACAGCTGAGAGACGCTCAAAGAGCTGAGTCACGGAGCGACGCTCGTGGTCCTCCAGCTGCATGAAAACGACCTGCAGGCAGAAATTAGTTGTTCAGAACCAGAACCTCAGATTTACCGATATTTTATGTTCCCCTCCTTACCTGGAACCGGTCAGCGGTGTGCAGGCGCTCCAGATGCCGGTAAACCAAGTTAGGGTTTTTTCCCAGTAAATGCGAGTCAAGTGCCTTCATGATGAAGCCGATCGTATGTCCGTCCAGCTGGTTGCTAAGATACCGAGGGAGCAGTTCTGGTTCTATGGACGCCAGCAGCTCTGCGCAGGCGGCCGTGTTCCCACTGCAGCGTGCTGCGTTCAGGGACTGGCCGAACTCGTAGGAGCTGCCGGGTGTGAGGTTGATGCTGAGGTCGTCCTCTCTGTTTGGAACGTCGGGCGTCTCCTCGTCACCGTCTACCTGTGGCAGCAGAGGGGCGCTTTATCACGGTTTGTATGCATGAAAGAGAGACTTTAGATCCACCTCTAATAAAACAAAGACGTCGCCATGTTGACGTTCAAGAACAAAATCTACAGCTGGATATTTAGTGTTTAGTCATTTAATGTGCCTTTTCAAGCCTTTATTTCTATTGATTTTCTGCTTGCAGGCAAAGAAAAGACGTTTAAGGTTAGAATCAGTATGTAGTGAATTTTGTTCAATCATTTTTGCAAACAAAAATTTAATGTTTAAAATTGAAATAAATAAAAGAATAAAGGAAATCCAGAAAGAAAACTGAAAAACCTCTTAATCAAAAGTTATGTAATTAATCTTGATTTTTTTTTCCTCTGCATGGTTATTTATTATATTTTATTTATTCTTTTGTGTAGAATTAAATTTTTGTTTTTTTCCCAAATGTTTTACAGATCACATTCTCCTCACTTTAAGCCACATAGAAATAGTCACAATGATCAATAGAAATGCATCTGCAAAAAAAATTTAAAATGAAAAATTCTGAACCACCATTGGTTATTTATTTATAGCAAGTTATTCTCAAAACATTTTTTCTGGAAACCCTATTTTTTTCCATTCACAAAACATGTTCTTTGCTTAAACAACAATGGAAGAAATTGGCTCCATATATCAGATTACATAAACAAAGCTTTGGGTTTGAATAAAAATATTTTTAAAACTCAGGTAAAGGTTTTTATTTCAAAAGGTTCCTTTTGGACAAACATCACAGAAAGCTGTGGGATACAATCTCATCGTATTCTTAATGACACTACAGAGAACTGTGGGTGTACCTCTGTGATGGGGACAGCCTTCCTGGGTTTGTCGTTCACGCTGTTGGCCAGACTCTGTCTGAGCAGAACCGTGACCTCCTCCAGCTCCTTCTCAGCCTCCTGCACGTTGGGGTCCAGCCGTAACACCTCCTGGAGATCAGAGCTGCAGGCCAGGTAGTCCTGAAGGAGAACAGACGGCTGTTGAGTGGAGTCGTTCGATTTATGACAGGAGCGCTTTGTTTACATCTATGATTTCTATCTCTGCTTCTGTCTCCTTGAACCCCAGTCGGCCTCAGCAGATGGCCGCTCAGACTGAGTCTGGTTCTGCTGGAGGTTTCTGCCCTTTAAAAGGGAATTTTTCCTCTCTACTGTCGCTGCAAGCATGCTTAGTATGAGGGATTGCCTTTGAGTCAATGAGTCGATGCAATCAACTGGTTTTCCTTAGATAGAAAACTGAATCAATTTCACTGTATTATCTTATAAACAGTAAAGTGCCTTAAGATTAAATGTGTTGTGAATTGGCGCTATATAAATAAACTGTATTGAATTAAATTGAAATAAGTAAATTAAATATTTTTCATTTGATAGTTAATGCACGATTGAAACATATATAAATATGAATAATAAATATAACAATACCATTAAATATTTCCTTGTGAAGAGTGCCAGGAGATAATTGGTGTTGAGTTGCTATAAAAATAGAGCTGGACATGTTTTATTGTGTTGCATTTTATTTTATAAGGATGCATCTTTCATTCTAAACAGTTTAAGTGAAGTATTTAACCAAACTTGCACATTTCTGTGCCAAAGGTAATAAGCAATGTTTACCTAAACTAAACTTGGAATTATTAACTTTTTTCTTTTGAGTAACATATTAAGCTGGCGGCATGACTTTATTCCACTATTACCTTATCAAAGTACCTTTATTTGAGCACATTTATTTAGCATCCTTTTCACCTCTGCCTAGCACCAAGTACTGTGCAGGAATTGGCTGTTATATGTCAATGATTAGGGGCAAATCTAATGCTGCCCAGCCCCCCTTCTAACTCCGCCCCTTTTCCATCTCTGCTTCTGTCTCCTTGAAGAGTCAATGGGGATGCAATCAACTGCTTTTCCTTAGATAGAAAACTTTGAATCAATCTGACTGGATGGTCTGGTGAACTGTAAAGTGCCTTGAGGTGACGTGTTGTGAATTGGTGCTATAGAGATAAACGGAATTGAATCTGTTCACCTTGAGGCCTTTATTAGCCAGGGCTCGTCTGTAGAAGGCCTTCTTGTTGTCTCGCTCCAGCCCCAATGCGGCGTCACAGTCCTGCTTGGCCTCCGTGAACCTCTCCAGCTTTAGGTAGCACAGAGCTCTGGAATCAGACCCACAGAAACTCAGTTCCTGTCACCAGCAAATGTCTTCAAACCTCTTGAACTTTTTGTACTTATTTAAATCACAAAAGTTTCTGTATTTTATTTTTAACAGAATTTTCCGATTATAACTCTATGACCCTGCAGAGGAAAGACGTCCTACAGACGGACGCTGACAGCATGATGTGTTCAGGGAGTTATGGAATGTTCATTTTTTATCATAAATGAACAAATTTTTCCATTTTGGTCTCGTCTGACCAGAGCGCCTTGTTCCACACCCACAGATGTTCCCATTAGAACCATAGGTCTGAACCAAACAGGCCTCTTTCAGCTGCTTCTTGGATTAGCTCTGTTGTTGCTTTGCAGCTTCCACACCCTTTAAAGCTGATGATGATGAAGAACGGTGGGACGTTCAAAGAACCCAGCCCTGAATTTCCACCTGCTTTGCTTCCTCATCATTTTGGTGTTGAATTGCATAAGTTCTACCACAAATCTGAGCTCCTCAGAAAACTGATGCTGGACTGTTTTTTTTTTGTTTTTTTTGTGGTTATATTTAGAAATATCAAAATAAAGATCTTTTAAGTTTAAAACCATTCTTTCTTTTCAATCTACTTCCTAATTATATACGACTCTGTCTACTATGACACCCTAATAAAATACGGGGTATAAAAGGTCGGCGTAGAAACCTGAAGGGATCGATTTCCTCACAGTGGATTAAATCAATGTAAATCCCTTTATTGTCCCTCAATGGGGAAATTAACTCTCTGCATTTGACCCGTCCCCTTGGGGATCAGTGGGCTGCCATTGTGCGGCGCCCAGGGAGCAGTGTGAGGTTAAGGGTCTTTGCTCAGAGACCCAGGGTGCAGGTTGTGGGGATCAAACCCGGTACTTGTGCGCTGCTCTAACCCACTAGGCCAGGGGTCAACAACCCGCGGCTCTTTAGCGCCCCGCTTGCGGCTCCCTGAAGCTTGTCAAAAATGTATGGGAATAAATTTTTTTTCTTTGTTTATTTTAATATGGTAAGCAGGAGGTTAAACAAACATTCATTATGTTTTCCAATACTTTTTAAATTTGTATAATAAATAAATGTAAACAATAAATGAAAACTTTTCTTTCATTGATTCTTTCGACAGATTTTGTTTTGTGTTTTGGTCCATTATGGCTCTTTGAGCAGTTTGGGTTGCAGACCCCTGTTCTAGGCCAACACTCCCCCTTAAAAAAAGACTAAACAAATTCCACTTTTAATACTATGACAATTACAAAATCACTCTAGATCTTCCTAACTTATAAAATATAGCATTATTCGCTAACACTAGGGGTTCTTTCAGTCCTTAAGTTTCCCTTTCTCACCTATAGGTGGTGTAGATGTGGCGCCTTCATTAAGAATAAGCTTCATATTAGTTCTCAGGACTAATTCTGAGGCTCAGACCTCCAACAGCCCTAATTAATCTGTTTTTTGTTTGCTCATAACATTATTAAAGTCCAAATTCTCCAGTCAGAACTGTAGGTCACAGAGTAAAGGATTACTGCTGCAGATTTGGCAAAAATAAGACAGAACTATAGAAATATTTCAGAATATTTAAAGTTTAAAATTGGCGATTTAAAAAAAGAAAAAGAGGAAAAAACTTACATCTAATAATTTCTTGTCTCTAAACACATTTTCCAATAACTGCTTCCAAGCAGCTGCCTGGAGGTAAATGGATATTTATAATCTTTAGACAGAAAACACTATTTTCACAGCAGTTTGTGACATATGCAAACAGGATCACACAGCGGGACGTTTATTCCTCTGCTTATTCCCAGCAAACTGACATCTAGAGAAAAACGCAGCAGAATGAGAGTGAGATAAAGGAGGATGTCTCTAACCTGTTGGTGTAGATCGCACACTCCTTTGGCTTTAGTTTAAGGCATTCTGTGTACTTCCCCAGAGCCTCCTGGTACTGGCCCTTCTTCACAAATTCGTTCCCTTCTTGCTTCAGAGCTGAAAAGCGGATCTCTGCTCTCCTCTCTACAACACAAAAGGCAGAAGTGATTACTTAACATTGATTACTCACAGACAGAGCACTTCCATTTGCCTCCCCTTCAACGTTATAAATCCAACTGAAAGGACATTTTAATTGGCCTCCTTTTCACAGAATGCTGTGCTAGCTGGACACTCGGCGGAAGAGTTTAGTCAGCAGTCAGTCACAGGCGGAAGCACAGGCTAATCAATCAGCTGCAGAGATTCTTCAGGGAGGGAAAACTGTGCCGGCAGCTCTATTCTTTATTAAAGGTTATTATTAGCAGCTGAAGCAAAGCCTGGGGAATGATAAAAAGCATGGTCAGACCACACAGGTTGCACTTATTGTGAGTCGCAAACCTATGGAAATACCGCTACAACTTTTTCACATTTATTTTTTGTTACAGCTACTGATTTCAGTAAATATGTCTATCATCAGGATAGATGTTTCTCCCTGGCTCCTTGACTACACTGTGGCTCTACCTTTCTTATACCTCATCCAAAAAACTTAGGTTATCCTGAGCTATTTTTTGCATTTGTGCTGCTATAGGCTTAGACTGCTGGAAGACATAGGGACCCATTTTCATCATTCTGCTTCATTCTATTCCTTTCTCCCATTCTACAGTATTTATTAGTTTATGCTCTCTCCAGGGGCGGAGCTAGATGGGTGGCCAGGGGTGGCCATGGCCACCCTTAGCCAATCATTGGCCACCCCTGTGGCCACCCCTAGCATTTTTTTTCCTCTAATACAGACGGTGGCAGCAGTAATACTCTGAAGGGGAATTTTCAAACTTATTAAACATCTAAATGTTTCATATATTAATAATTACTTGACAACAGAAACACTGTTGTTAATCATGCACTCCAATATACTAACATTAAAGAAAATAGATACAGAATTCATGCTCTTTTCAGAACTAAATTTTAAATTATTTGGGGTAAAGATAAAATGATGTGCCTCTGCAAGTCATCTAGGAGTCCTCAGTGAAATCATAGATAAATAACTACTTTAATAATAACTTAAAAATTAATTAAATGTGGATATTAGTAGATTTAAATATCTTTTTTTGCTAAATGATTATTGATAAAAGTAGGTACTGACTGTAAAATATGTTCGCCCCAGCACTCAAACCTGAAAGAATTTTGCCCAATATACCATTTATTTACACAGCATAGATGTTTAAATATATGCGTCTATTTGTTAGCAAAGGCTGCAGGAAAGGCTTGTTTGTCTTTATTTAGATAATATGGATGTTGCGCTCGTTCCTGCTGAAATAGTGTAGATTGACCCTGAGGTTCTGGTGCCTTTCGGCCACCCCTCGATGTACATTGGTTATTGCCTGGCTATTAGGATTTTCTGGCTCTCTCTGCTTTTTCTCATAGTAGCTTTGCCTCGTCTGTTCATGTTTGGCTGTGACGCCATCCTGTAGAGAAATATCAGCTGTGGTGCTTCCATCAACACCTTTGTTTATAGATGCTGGAGATCGGCCTGTTTTCCAGTGTAGTCCTGTTTCTCTGACTGTGACTGGCTGGATGTGCTCTCTTCATCCTCTGACATGGGAGCTGGCTCAGAGCTCGTCTGCCTGGCTGTGTGTTTCCTGGACGGGGGCCTGTGGAGCTGGTTGAAAGTTACCTTATGTATCTATACTACTGTCTCCTTGAACCCCAGTCGGCCTCGGCAGATGGCCGCTCACACTGAGCCTGGTTCTACTAGAGTTTTTTTTTTCTGTTAAAAGGGAGTTTTTCCTCTCCACTGTCACTACAAGCATGCTTAGTGTGAGGGATCTCCTTTGAGTCAATGAGTCGATGCTATTAACTGGTTTTCCTTAGATAAAAAACTTTAACCCAATCTGACTGGATGATCTGGTGAACTGTAAAGTGCCTTGAGATGACGTGTGTTGTAAATATTTGCTATATAAATGAACAGAATTTTAAAATTTTGAATAATTGTGAAGGAAAAATCCATGAACCACTTCTGTACATTTTTACAAGGATCTGTTTGATTGTTGTTGCAACACGTTTTGTAAATCAAATAAAATAGTTTTGTGAATAAAAATAAAGATTAAAAATGTAATAATTTAATGAAAATGCAATTTACAAATTAAACCTTGAAAAACTTTTGAATTTCCCAAGGTTCTATGTTTACAAAATTTTTTCCTTTTTTTTCTCCATATTTTAGTTTTACGTTTTTTGATCTCTATATTTCAGGTTAAGTTTTAT